TCTGGAAATTAACATCATTCATTCATCAGTCAAGGTCTTGTCACAGTATGGCTTGATGCCAAAAAGTGGGCGTGACTTAAAAACCTGTGATTCTTCTGGCAAATACACCACAGCAACATCAAAGCAAAATCTAAATTTACCGCCAGTCCTATGGTACAATAGTGTTCCAAGTCTTTTTGAAATTGTTGAGATTGAATCAAAACTGTAATAGGAAAAACGTTTTAGATGAATTTCACAGAAATTTATATTTTAGTAACCATGGCAACACCGTTTGTGAAAATCTAGAACAGACATATAGAATTATGTATGTTATATACTTGTGTACAAAGCCTTTTTGAAATTGAACCAAAACTGTAAATAGGAATAGCGTTCTAAATGATTTGTTTGTTTGTTTGTATGTAGTTTAACGTTCCTCTCGAGAATTTTTCACTCATATGGAGACGCCACCACTTGCCGGTGGAGAGCTGCAAATTTTGTCCTATACTCGGCACTTACGGCCATTGAGCAGTGAGGGATCTTTTTCGTGCCAGCACCTACTGCGACACGGGACCTCGGTTTATACGGTCTCATCCGATGGACCGGTCTCCACGTCCCACAGTGGGATTCGAACCCGCAACGTAAGGATCAACTCCTTACTCCGCGACTCTAGAGCAGACGCTCTAACCACTGCGCCACCGCTCTAAATGAATTTCAAAGAAAAATTTCTATTTGTAGTAACCATAGCAAGACCGTTTGTCGAAATCAAATGCTGATATACAGAATTATGAATAGTCTACTTGTATACCAAGTCGTACTGAAGTTTGATAAAAATTGTAGGAGGAGTAACGTTTTGAAAAATTGTTTACAGATATCATACAGTCGGAGGGCGGACACCTCACCAATGCATAAGCTCTTCTGGTCTCTGTCGACCAGTAGAGCTAAAAGACCAATCCTTTTATAGAAGCTAATTTTCTGACGGCAGTTTAGAAATAAAAGTTTAACGCCGATGTCATAGAAGAAACCTTTTCCGTTAGTAAAATATCCTTCTATTTAGTGACCTCCCCCTTTCGGAGGTGGGGGCTTACTATGAACAAAATTTCATCCGCCTAGTGAACCTTCCTATCTAGCTGTAAATGGAGTTTATGTATTTTTCTGAAATTCTTTCATTCTTTTAATTCTATAAATGTTCATCTAGGATTATAATCTTGTTAATCTATCAAGCTAAATATTTCAACACTTCTTGATCTTCTGTTGTTTCATGTTCCTTATAAATTTGGTAAGCTAACTACAAAGTAATTATTTTATCGCATCAGTCCACGAACTTTTTGATAACCCCTCGTATGTTTCAATTTCTTTTTTTAATTTTGCATTTTAAATCTAAAGTTTTGCATTTGCAATTTTAGAATTAAGCCTCAAAGGTGGCTAATGGAACATTTTTTCCGTTAAATCACTCACTTTTACATGATTTTTGTCCTTCAGGGCAGCCCTGCCCCTAAATAAAATCATTATTTTTGATAGGATGTGATCAAATGAATAACCTAAATAGTATTTTTGGGGCACCCCTGCCGTGGGGTCGAAAATCACAAAAAACCTAGAAAAAATAAAGAAACCTGTTTTTGACAACCTGGTTCGTATTTATACCGTCTTAATATTATAAACAGAATAGCTCAAAGGATTAGAACGCTGGCTTTTAAAGCCGAAGTTACGTTTTAGAGTCGTGTGTCGAATCCACCTGGCACCAAACTTTTACAATTTTAAACACTCGTCTTTTCAAACACTATTTTAATTTTTATATGAGAGTTCTTTTTTATTTTAGTTCAATTATCTATCTTTATAGAATGTTCGTTTTTTATATCAAAGACATAAAAGAGAAAGCAAATCGTAAATTTTATGTAACTTAAACGAAGTCAAGTGGAACTATACCTCAGTGTAGCACACATCCTTCGAGGTCAAGAATTATTCACTCTGTGTTACTCGAAACAGGCATTCTCGTCTGCAATACGCTGCTATTGATTTTTGATGTATATACTTTTTGATTAATTTGATATCTTAATTTTTTTTCAATTCAGTATATTTAGTTTTATTCCGTCTGTAATACTAGGTACTTATCTATTGAGGTGGAAGGAATACAAAGTGCTTGTATTTAATATTTGAGCCTAATACAGTCACCCCTACTAATGTGTTCTGAACCTTTTATTTTTCAGTGTTCTGCAAATCATAATACCCGGGGAGTTTCCAGTAGCTCTGGTGAGATTTAGTGAGACTACAGCGATACTGTTAATGGATGAGGTAAATTATTCACTGAAGTGTAGCTAGAAAAAGACTAGCACGTGGAGAAATGGTAAACAGAAAAGTTATGTTATAGTTTTCACCACTGTATAATATCATTGGAAATATACTTTAATATGTCTAGAATTCATTAAAATTCTTCAATAAGTATTCTTTAACCTTTGAATGGGTCAACCAAAACCACGTGTCTTGAACTTAAATCACAATAATATTAGTAAGGGTGACAGTATTTTCAACTTTTAAAGGCAATAGCCTAAATTCATATCACAAGTTTTTAAACAGTGGGGCCACTTTTGAGAAAAATTCCCATTGGCGAAAATGGCGAATCACAGCTCGAGCACTGGCAACATATGAGTAACTGCACTCCCTTGTATGTCATTTATATAATTTACATACATCAATGACATGCTTTTATTATTTCCGCATAAATATGTTGTGAAATACAGATAATTATTACTTTAAACAGTACCATTACAATGAAAGTAAAGAAAATAATAAAAAAGCTTTTCGAGATAAAAAAAAAAAACGGTCTGGTCCGAAGTACCTGTATCCGTGTGACGCAAGAATCAAATCCTTCCTCCGGTCAAACCACTGCGCCACGCGGGCGACTAAAGTGATTGCTGTTCATATAAAAGCAAATTTGATAAAGGGGGAGACATGGGGGAAGTCTGACTCTACGACAGTAATGGAGAAGGTATTCTCGCAGGGAGGTGGGGCTCTAGAGAGAGACTTCTTCGGTTGATTCTCCTGCTCTAGAGTTATTCATTCCCGAAGAAGTAGTCTCACTCTAGAACAAAACTTTCTGGGGAAGTCTAACTCTAAAGCCTGACTTCCAGATATTGACAAAATTCCTCTTGAAAGTCATTCTTATAATACTTAATTCAGGAGGTTGTTGCAAAAGACTTTTCTCATATTACTGAATTCAGGAGAGTTGTTGCACTTGATAACCATAGCAAAAGCTCATTTGAATCTTCAATATGGTTGGAAGGATTGCACTTTCTTCTACGCAATGTAATTGGAATAATAAAATTAAATTGATACCATTCTGACTCTAGAGATTTAAAATTAAAACAAGAAGTCTGTGAGCCAATGCTCATTAATAATACCCCCGCTCTGATGTGAATACACAAGTTCAGTTATGGACAGACACAGTGATAATCAGAAAGTTGACATTGGATTTGTACAAAAATGAATCCCACCATATGGCATGCCTAAACAAAGAGTATGCTAAAATTTCAAGCATCTGCGATGAGTAGTTGCTGAGAAAACTGCCACCGAAATTTGTTATGTGTGGTACAGACAAGCACACGGATAAACAGGAAGTTGTTATCGGATTCGTACAAAAATAAATCTCACCATATGGCATGTCTAAACAAAAAGTGTGCTAAAATTTCAAGCATCTGCATGGCTTCAATTTGAATCTTTCTCAATATATTTGCATCATTTGGAAGATAACACTTTATTTTCCTGGCTCCATCTCGTAGGCAATGTAAAAATAATCCGAAAATCTACGGATTTCTATCTAAAAATACACTTCTAGATTGCCATTAGCAAACAGGGTATACATATTAGAAGGTTCTACATCGGGACCCTCGATCATTATTCTTGCGAATAGGGATCTTAATGCCTCTTCATAGTGAAACGAGTATTCACAAACATTTTCCCGCCATCGTCGAGACGATCCACCCCTTCTGTATGACAGCCACCACGGACTGGATGGAGTACGTTCCCGCCGGTTTCCAATGTCTGCTTAACAGTATCCCTCTTGTGTAACTCTCGATCTATGGTGGATATAGCTGAACGTATGGGGAGTGGACGTAACCGGAGGCTCCATTATAGTTACATTTCAAGACATAAGGACCGATTCTTGTCCATCCTTACCTTCAGTTTCAGTCAACTTATCCCAAAAATCTTTGACCTTCTTTTGCAACTTCAAGGGTTTTTTTGGTCCCCTACCGGTGAAACCGGAGGAGACTATAGTTTTTTTTCCATAACTTAACACTTTCTTTCTAACAGAAAGATTCGTATGTTCCTAAAATATTTGTCTGTTAATAAAATTACATGTATATCAATGTTCTTGAAACATCTTTTTCTTAAATTAACAAAGGATAAATTATACGAGATTATGTAAAAAAAAAATTCACCTGAGTCATATGAGGTATTGGTCAAGTTTTACCTAATTTTGAATTGCTTTTAATACAGTTATTTGAATTACTAGATATGCTTGTGAATTTGTTTTCCTTACTAAAGAAGAAACTTTTTAGGGGAAAAATCGCTCGTATTTAGCTGAAAATGATACTAATGTGAGTTAGATTCGGATTAACGACGAAGTAATTTAGTTTACAGTGAAACCAAGGTTCCGACAGTGTGACACCGCTGTAGGCTGATTTCCTTTCGCTTGAGTTTTGGAGGATAATTGCTTAAATTTCCACCAATATTTAAATTTGCTTAATATTTTTTTCTTCTCTATTTAGAAAATAATAGCACCATAGCTACCATATTTTATCAAGTGGATGTAATATTGATGAGGCGTGCCCAATTATGACACCATAAAAAGAAATTATATTTTTAAAAAGAACAAATTTAATAGAGCATTAGACACGGGAATTGCACTTCAGATAATAAAATATTTACTTGTTCGAACAAGAACTCTATATTTTATGCAATTTTCATGACGTTTATCTTTCTATAAAAAGGGGTGCATCAAGTATTCCTGTAAGTCTGCCTGCACATTTCAGAAGATGATGCTGCGAGTTATCATTTCGCTCTTCCTTTTGTGTTGCATAAAGGAATCCTACAGCGCAGGGATAGGTATGAAAAAAAATCTTTTTTTTAAAGGCAAATGTATTTTATTATTAAAGAGTCCATGAAGTAAGAAATACATTGGCATATTTTCTTTACTTGTTTATGTATTAAATTTAGCACTGCACTGTGTGTTTCTTATCTTGGGGTTCCAATAGTTTCCAAAATCGACATTTGCCATATTAGATATGAAAGTTTTTTAACGACACTGCCTTTTTCTGAACTGTACTTTAGAAACTATGACGTAGACCCGTGTGCAATAGAAATATATAATGACGTAAAAACGGGATAATTGAATAAAGAAGGTTTGCAATAGCTCAAGCAGATTTTGCCTAATTGCTCAAGTTGCTCAATGTTTAAAAGTATTCGATGTCACGAAATAGCAAGTATCTACCGAAATAATTTTGTTAATGAAAAAAAAAAACTGTCAACATTTGTTTAGATTTAAATGTTATGCAAAAGTGCAAATTTTTAAGCAAGTGCGTTCGATAAAACTTATGATTTTTAAAATCAAAATTTTGAATTAAGTCTGTTCTCAGTTTATGGTCTTGGAGCCTGGCAATTGTAAACACATTTCTCAGATAAGAGTATAGAGAAGTTTAAGAAATACATGTATTCCAACAGCAAATTTATAAGCTGTCAATTCAGCAAATCAATTGGCTTTAAATTTGCAGCTTGAACCCACGTGTGAATATTTAGGGTGGAACAATTACTTTTGCGAATCATTTTAGTCAGATCGTATGTTTCAATGATTTTTTTAAACATTTTTACCCAATACTTGGTCTTTTGTCGATGGTATAGACTTTAAAAACTGTTCATGGTTAAACTAAGTCTCCCTGTGGTAAAGAGGAGGCACAAGAGTAATACTATGTTAATTTAACTTTTTTAAAAAAAAAAAAAAAAAAAAAGAATGCGAGTAAGAATAAATTAACCATGTGACACAGCTGTAATTAGAGGATCAAACGTGAAAATATTTTAAAATCTAAACCCCTACACAGTTATTGTTTGATTTGACCAGGATGATGTAATTGTTGGCTACAAAAAAAATCTGTGGTGAAGTTTTTACTTTTGATTAATGATGTAGTTTCAGTTAATAAAACAAAAAGTTTGTAAATGCACAGGTATTTGCTACTCAAAATGTTGTATTGTTGGAATTATTGAATCGTTAATTTGAAAGAAGAGATAACATAGAAACTAGTGCTCAAAAACACCGACAAGTCATGCGCGCTTATATCCCCGACAAGTCAAATGCTCTTATTCTCCTGACAAGTCCAGTGGTCATACACCTCCGATAAGTCAAGTGTTTTACATCCCCGTCAGTCAAGTGGTCATATTCCCACACGATAAGTAAAGCGCTTTTATACCCTTAACAAGTCAAGTGATTTTGTTCATCCGACAAGATTAGTGCTTAATTCCCCCCTAAAAGTCTAGTGCTCATATTTCCCTAAAAAGTCAAGTGCCTTTATTCCCCCGACAAGTCAAGTGCTCTTCTGCTCAAACAAATCAAGTGCTCTTGTCCCCACAAGTGCACTTTTTAAGTCAAGCGCTCGATCTTCCCCGACAAGACATGTGCTCTTCTACCCCTTTTATTCCCTCGACAAATCCAGGGTTCTTATAGCTCGACAAGTCAAGAGTTCTTATCTCGTTAACATCAGAAGGGCTGGATTCTTTCAGATGACTACTGGATACTTTCAAACTTTACAGGTGTTAGACATGAGTTACAATGCCCTATTATTATACAATTGCTTTTAGATTCAAAGACTGAATGTCCTTTTTCAACGTTATTTTTCACAGATGGTGATTGCACCACTGATGCCGATTGTGAAAAGGCAGACTCAGGTTGTTATTCAGGAAAATGTAAATGTAAATTTCCAAAGGCATATGATACTACTGCTGCAAATTGCACTGGTGAGTTATTTCATGTCAATTTTATTAAACTTGTCAGATTTCAATCAGACCCTACTGTTTTCTCTATTTTAGGAATGTTTTTAAGTTTTGTGTGAGTTATTGGTGTGTGAAACACACAAACTTGTCACGTAGACATATTTTATGAAGCGCGCTAGGGCTTCATGAAAAATATGCCTATGTGCAAGTCTGTGTGATTTACACACCAATAATTCACACTAAACTTTAAAACATTCCTTGTATTTACATTTTACATGTTTAAATACACCAAAAATATACTCAATGTTTGAATTCTTCGCTGCCCTATATCGTCATATTTAAGCATTGAATCATTATTTTTTGAAAGATATAGTCTCATAACTGCAACGGTGTGTGCAAACAAATTGAGTAACGCGCGTTAGCACGTTATGAAAATTTGTTTGCACACACCGTTGCAGTTATGAGACTATATCTTTCAAAAAATAATGATTCAATGCTTATATTTACATTTTTTAACTCCTTGCCTTGACTGCAAAGGTGTTTTTTTATTTCAAAATCCCTGTATTATCCTTCGAGTAAATTACATTTAATGGAAGAGACATTGCAACAGGTTCTGTTCAATGTCAGCGTGAAATTTGACGTTGTACTTCCACGGCGTTAAACGTTTGTGACGTCAAAATAAAACGCATACTTTAACCTTTTGACCCCCTCTCTGTGTTATGGTGTTTTGAATGCCGTAGCTTTCCTCATACTTTATAAGCAAAATACATGTTGAATGTAAATATTTTTATATATTTACATTTGCAAATGTTTTCTTTTATATAACAGTATTAAAAGCAACGCGTATCTATATCCGTATAAATACGGGTTCCTCGCGTCATAAACGTTCGACGTAATTTTTCAGTGACGTCATAAAGGGTCGAGGCGCAATTCAGTGGATCAAACACGTGCCGTTGGGTTTGAAAAATAAAACGTTTCACGCGTTAAAGATTATAATCAGGCAAAAATAAAATACGAATAAGTCACAAATGTAAATATAAGTAATAAGGTATCATTTTAAAACATCTATCGGGCTATAAATACGGGTTGGTACGAGATCAAATTTACCATAAAGCTCTTCGGGCTTTTTGGAATTTGATCTCGTGACCAACCCGTATTTGTTTAAAAATGATACCTTATTTCTTAATTAACGTCTCTGTAGCCTCATTGTGACGTCACTTTAGCGCGAGTTTCTCCGTGAATATTTCTACGCGTGAATATACACAAAAATGGCTTTCAAATCAATTTCACAGTTGGCTTAGTAGAAAAACACAGCGAATGTAAATATTCCATATTATCATTAATTTCAACATTATTATTTTTACTATTATTATTAGCTCACCTTAGCCAAAGGCTCGCGCGAGATTTTCTGATCGAAGAGTGCCTGGCGTCCATCTGCCTGTCTGTCTGTCGTGTGTTATTATTTGCAAACTTTCCACTATTTCAAATTCTTTTCCAGAATCACTAAGCTAATTTCTACCAAACTTGCCACAAAGCACCAGCGCATATAGGGGATTTAAATGGGCCACGCATTTTTTCTAGGCGATATAATTAAGAATTGTTGAAAAATTAATAGCATCATTAAAATATCTTATCTAGAACCACTGAGCCAGAAAAGACACAACTTATGTTAGAGCTCCATTACATAATGTAGATTTATTTCTTTTTTATAAATCATGACCCCATGGGTAGGATGGGGCCGCAATAAGCCATAAAAGGTTTATAGGGAATTATATAAGAAAAAATCTTTAAAAATCCTCTGAAGAACAGCAAAGCAACGGTAAGTCATATTTCTATGGAAACATCCCCAGGAAGAGTATAAGTTTGTTCAAATCATGACTCCTGGGACTAGGGTGGTTCCACAATAGCATATCAAACTTTTACATAGGTGTAAATCGGGAAAAAATCTTTTAAAATCTTCCACTGAAGAACAGCAAAGTCATGATCAGTCATATTTATAAGGAAGCATTCTCAGGTAATTAGACTCAAGATATTCAACTCATAAATTCTGGGAGAACCTAACAAAAATACTATAATAACCTATATTAACTTTAGTAAATCAAAGTTTCAAGATTATCAATATAGTAAATAATTTTTCAAAAGTTGTCACTATAGTTTTTTTATTTTTTTACATTTGGACACTGCCATTCCACTGCACACATGTACATAGTTTCTTCTCGCCAATAAATGTCAACAATGGATTTTCCCGAGTATCCATATTGAAGTTGAAGTTGTGTGTAAGTGATTACTAAAGTGTCATAGTTGTCACTTTTGTGGCATAGTGATCACTATAGTGTCTTACTTATCACTATTATAGTAAATCAAAGTGACAAAGTTATCACTACGGTCAAAGTTTTAGAAGTATTAATTATAGTAATCCAAAGTAAAATCTTTTTTACTGCTTAATTTTTTGTGACACAAGTCTTAACAAATTTCACAACGTATTTATTATCCAGTTTTACGGATTTTCTCATTTTACCAAGGATATTTCTTGATGTATTGTATTAACAATAAGTCCCTGCACTCTACATGCAATACATTTTATTTGGAATTTTATTTTTTTAGTTTGATACTTTTTGAAACCTTATCTTTTTCAATGACTGGTACTAGCTAAAAAAAATTAAATTCTGAAATAAATAGTGTTTGTCTTTCATTGTTCTTTTTTTGTAATAGTAAGTCAAATACTAGTGGTATTAATGTCATTAGATACACAAAGCAGGATATAAAGATTTATCATCTTTTACACAACAAATAACTTTAACACCACAAATAAAGTACATTTGAGTGACAACTATAGTAAATCAAAGTTTATAAAGTGATCACACGTTTTCAAAATTATCACTATACTGTCATAGTGATCACTATAGTAATTCAAAGTTTTCAATGGTGTCACTATAGTAAATCAAAGTGTCAAAGTTATCACTTTAACTATAGTTTTCATAGTGTCAAAGTTATGACTAAAGTAAACTATAGTTTACTATAGTTAAGGTATTTCCATCCTCGCAATTTTATGGGTTCAAAGTAGAAAAACTGCATTTATTTTCACTGAATATTTTTTAAATTAATAAATAGTTGCAAAAAATATAAAGGTTGCCATATTTTTTATGATGTAAAACCTAAATAAACAGAAACTTATGTTGAGCATTAAAAAATTGTACATTTTTAATAAACAGTATTATAAAAATAATGTAAAAATAGGTTCAAATACATAATTGTGATGCTGGAAGTTCCAAAATAATTGCTTCTTTATAAATATGTTTGAATTGTCAATATCAGGGAAACCATTTTGCATTAGAAGTACAATTAGGAAAATGCCTGAATACAAATATATTAGAAAGAGTTATTGCCCTTAGCAACATTTTTTTAAAGATTGAATGATTGATTAAATCAAAAAAAATATTCATTTTTCTAAATCTTTTACTAAACAATATTTGTTATTACAATCATTGAAAAGCATTCTTCTAAAAGATATGTTTCTATGGGGTATTAATTTAAATTAATAACAGTTTTTGCAAAAACCTATGACATCATAGGAGGATGGAAATATTTTGTTAGGGAAGGGTGGGACCACAATGGGAGATCAAAGTCTTACACAGGCATCATATGTAGGAAAAAACCATAATGTATTATAAGGGTCTTCCTTCTTCAGTGGAACAATATGTCGTTGAAGAAGATACGTGTGTTCCATGCAATAATGCAGATGGCCAAAATGATCATTACCAGTATACTTTTTCATTAACATAATGCTAATGAAATGTACAACACGACAGAGTTGTTGCTTGTTGATATGTCTTTATAACCGATGCGTTGCTTTCAGGATCCGTTAGCCTGCTAATTCAGATTTTTTTTCTTGACCATTCTAAGAATACCAATCTAATGCATTTGTATTCATTCTTATACATAATGATGTAAACACTTCTTGATTGGCTAACCACTTGGTGTGGCCAACGGGTGTCTCATGCAAACAAATTCCAATTGTCCTGCCACTCCACAGGTACTAGTATCTGTTGGCACTTCCCCACATCAGTGGTATGCCGCCTTTCTCATTAACCAAGTAACCGCGTTATTCATGTCCTACGTTTTCAAATACGAATGTTAGTACTATTAATACAAATAACGAGCACGAGAAGGCGGAAATGTCAAGCCAGTATCACATCATTTATCGGAAAAATTTTCAATTGTTTTGAAAAAAGCATCTTAATTAGATAGTTATATTACCAAAAAAATCTATAGTGTCTAAGGCAATGATGCGCCCCATCAGGTTAGGTATAAAGGAAAAAGATACCCTAATGAAAAAGTTTTTTTTAAAAATTCAAGTCTACCCCAGGGTTCCATTATTTCTGTAAATAAAAATTATTATTAAAAATCTTCTTTTGAGCTATAAAAAATCTGCCAGTATCCTACTATCCTCTAAGGGAAACAACTCATCGAAATTTTCATCGACTCGTGTATCCCACAAAATTCGAGCAGCACTATCCAAGTACATTGTGTCGTCATCAAGAATCAATCCATAATATGGATAAACTAGTACGTGTCAGACTCAATGAATATGTACAGTAATTGGTACCAGTATGGGACAAGAATTGATTCATTAATACTTTTTAAAGTATTTTTATTATGTACCTAGCTTAAAATTTAGAAAACCCATTTAAATGACTCTTATTTATTTTTTGCTAGGAACACCACAATTCTGTAGTAACGATCGTGATTGCGCCTTTGGAACGTGTGTGTCTAACGTGTGTAAATGTGACGGGGGTTACACATCTGAATCAAACTGCCGACTCAGACAGTACAGTAGTGGTAAGTTTGAGTTGTTTAAATATTTTATGAATGGGGGTCGTTATGATTGGTGCTTTTCTTCAATGAATTTTTAATTTGAAATAAATACATTGGTACTTTAAAAGATGTAATCTTGCATTCAATTCTTTTTTAGGGGTGTCAATAAAACCTGGAGTTACCTCCCTTGTCCTCCTCATCGGCTCCGTGTGGATGCTCCTAAAATGAATTTACTTCACCTTAACCTGTTGACTTTCTATATAATTTTGTAAGACATTACTTAAAGTTTGCTTTTTTAAATCTAACTCATTTAAGGCCATTTGCTACAAACAAACATACGTCGTGAAAAAGAACTGAATTCCTATTCACATATTTATATAAATTGGATATAAGAAGTGAAGCCACCTTTTTTCCCAAAGATTTCTCAATAATTCCCGTAAAATAGTATATAGATGTATAAGAGGAACTGCAAAAGGACAAACCAGAACATCATGGAAAATCTACATTTTCTTTACATTTCAGGGAATTCGATTAATTTACAACCAAAATGAGTTTACCAATTCATTCTTTTAGTTTTGTTTTGTTTGTTGGTGTCCTTAAGCATATTTATTTTCGTATATAGTATTGTAGGGGGTCATGATTGTGTTCAGCACCAATTGTTATTACTATAGTTACATGTTTATGAATGACCCCCTGTTTTGTATATATCTTTTCGTCATTTTACAAAATAAATGACATTTTTCATTCTAATACATATGTTCTCATTTCGCCTGCTTTCGCCTTGAGCAAAAAACGAGATCAGTCTCCTTGGCAAGGTTATACAAACAAAGGAACATAAATACTTTTCTGTGCGTAGTAGACAATATTTGTAAATGTCATTCATCTCAACAGACTGTATTTTCCTTTAATAAATCTTTCAAAACACTTGATTTTTTTTTTTTTTTTTTTTTTTTTTTTTTTTTCCGATAAAAGTGTAACTGATATGATGTACTAGAATACTAATGCAAAAAAGTAATATATTCGAATGACAAATTTTTCGTTCATACAATGAATTAAGCGAATTGCTTTGTGCATTTTATCGTTTGAAAACACATATGGAAACTATTTGACTTTGCTAATGTAACTCTATAGTTTGTGCTTGTGTAAAACATAGGTAATCAGAGATTACAAAGCTCACCTCGATGAATGTTATGTATAGGAAAAGCTAAGCCTCACATGAAATGAATATTCTGATAATATGCTTCCCTGCATGCAGCATCTCTGAAGGTTTGGTAAATGTAAGGTTTGTCGTTCTTGATCCAAAACTCCCTACGTTTGTGGCAAGAACTGTCTCCAGCATTATTTTGATATCAACTTCTAATTAGAGTAATTACATCAACTTTTAGGTAGGGTAATTACATCAAATTTTTAGGTAGAGTAATTTCATGTATTTGTAGAATCAAAATGATTTTTAAAGTAATTTTGTAGATGAAAACACTCACAAGGTATGAATTTGTTCGATTTCCATTCTTATTGAAGAAGCAGTTATCTGTGTTGGCAAAAAGACCCATTCCTTCATTAACTGTGAAGATTATCTGTATAAAGTGTAAAAAAAAAAAGTTATATGTCTGAATTGATGTAATTGATTTGAGGTATACAAAACAAATATAGCTTAATCAAAAACAGATTTAAAGATACATATATTCTATACATTTTTGCTAGATATCATTCAAATCAGATCGTGGCTGCAGATGGAAAGACTATCTTTTTTTCTTTAAGAAATTAAGAGGTGTTTTCCCTTTTAACGAGGTTGGATCCTGATATTTAAAGTTCTAAGATTTTTTTTCAAGTATACTTTTTAGTATCTACACACATATCTTAATTAAAAATCAAAACAAAAAATGAATGTAAGTATGCTTGTTTCGTCGCTACGGTACATTTACCGGGTAATACCACCTTTTTGCACTGATATTGTGTCTTAATCATGAATCAAATCTTGTAAGTTTTTTTTCCCAATATTTTTTATCCAAATAAATCATGGGACAAAATATACTATTATTCTATCTTATAAAAGACATTAAAATTGTGACAAAAAATGTTTCAAATTGCTTCGCATAATTAAGTACTTGAACTTTCTGCACTCATAAAATGTCATTTTTCTGGCATTAAAAATTTATTAAGCAAGAAAATTCTTTTAATGTTTTAAAGTTTTGCTGAATTAAAGCAGATTGATCAAAGTTATCTTATAAATTCAGAAAAGAAAATCGAAAGTGGGGGTCTTTGATGTAAATTTTTGATATTATTTTTAAAAAAAGTGTTTATTATATGTTAGACTTGGCTCAATTCTTTCCTGGACTTTCAGAGTATATTTAGAATTCAAAAAAATTAATTTGATAGATATTTCAGAACCAGCATAAAACATTTCACTACATAAATGACTCTGTGTGCAACGAGCATGGAAAAATAGGAATCTAAACTTAACAGTACTGTAAATACTTCGAAAGGAAAAATCGATCATTTTCTTCTAGAAAATCTATTGCTACAAAAGAAAGTTCCTGGCGTAATCCTTTTTGTGGAATTTGATCGCGTTTTTTTTTTTTTTCATTCAATATAGTTTAATTTGCATTGCAGAATCCAAATTTAATGTTTGAATTAACTTAAATATGATGCAGAATTTTAGAAATAAAGGTCCAGTAAAAAATCTTCTCAAGAGCTCAGGATCGAACTCCTTAACGAGGTTCACTCCTGAGCTTTTGAGCAGATTTTTGTCTGAGCCTATATTTAAAAAATTCTGTATAATGTTTTAGTTCTTACAATAAATTTGGATTCTACAATACCAATTAAACTAAATTCAGTTAAAACTGCATGATTAAATTCCATATCAAAAGCATTAAGTCAGGAACTATTTTGTGGCGGAAGTTTTTTTTTTTTTTTTTTTTTTTTTTTAAGAAAATTATCATTTTTTTCTTTCAAAGTATTTAAAGTATGGTAAGTTTGGATTTCTATTTTTCCATGCAGCCTGCACACAGAGTTATTCTGTGCCTTAAACTGTTTTATGCTGGTCCTAAATTATATATTTTGAATAAACTATCATGAATTCTATCATCATATCTGATAAATATAGCAAATATATTGCGAAAATCTAGGAAAAAATAGCCCTAACTTAAGCTTAAAATGAGCACTATTTTAGTAATATCTACAAATTAACATCACAGGCCCCTTATTTTGATTTTCTTTTCTGAATATAAGATACTTTTAACCATTCTTCTTAAATTCAGTTAAATGTCATTACTTTCAAATGATTTTATTGCTTGTTAAATTTTTTATGCCAGAAAAATGACATTTTTTGAGTGCAGAAAGGTCAAATAATTGACCATGCGCAGTATTTTGAAACTTTTTTGTTTCACAAATTTCAACGTGTCTATTCAAGATGAAATAAGACTATGTTCGTTCCTATAATTCATTTGAATGAAAAATTTTGGAGCAAAAACTTAAAAATTAATTTATGTATTGGACGTAATTACAGTGCAAAAAGGTCATACTAAATGCTCCGTAGCACCAAAAGAAGCGCATTGACCCCCATTTTTTTTTTTGGGGGGGGGGGTTAATTTGGCTATGTGTGTAGATTCTAAAAATATACTTGATAAAAAACTCTCATTACTTTTGATAGCAGGATCCAACCTCCTTAAGTAACCAATGCATTGCCCTTCATTTCACTACAGTAAAGGGAAGTCTAAAAAGCTCAAATCAGAAGAAAGCGTGGGAAGTGTCACATTAAAAACTCTTATTCTTTCAGGTATCATTCTGTCCTGTAGTTATCATGGCAACACCGGTAATTCAAATAGAAAATTAATAAATTTAATATGAATCCTGATGCAGTCAAGACCGTCTATCGGTTTCTGGATTATACAAAAAGTAAAGAGAGGAGCAATATTTTGAATGGCTGAAAAGACTGATGGACCAATTACTATCGCAATTTCTGTTCTGTCATCTGTAGAGTCCCAAATCACAAACAGATATTTTTACTCTAACGATTGCTGTACTTGTATATAACCTATTACTTTGGACAATACCTTGTTCAGTGATGGTATTGTCAAATTGTCCGTCTGATTTTGTTAATCTTTATTACAGATACATTTTGCTTATTTCAATTACATGATTTTTTTTCCGTAAAAATCTGCCTGCATGACCTTCTAATTCAATTGTCGTCTAAAGCATAAACCTGTTAAATGTTCATAGCTGTGCCATGGTAATATAATGTCATAAAAATGTTTATCCATGAAAAATTATTTTTAAGAATTTTTTTTTCGAGATTTGAAACATTACTAGATACAGAACAAGAGGGACAAGTACGTAGCTTCTGTGAGACTATTCTTTATGTTTGGGTGATTTTTTTTTTTTATTAAATTATACCTGACCTTCTCATCTTCATATCTTGATCCATCTCTCTTCACACACCCCGTCCCCCTTACCAAGCAATTAAGTTTGGGTTCGATATTTTCAAGAATCCATATCAAGCCACTAAACTTCTTACAATTGTTTCTTTTTTCCTATGGAAGATACAATTGTTTCTTTTTTCCTATGGAAGAAAGTTGTTCTTTAGAAGCAATGTAAATGTCAAAATATACAAACAGAGAATATTTCTTTTCTAAGATGCTTACCTTTAATATAAAATCTTGACAGATTTTTCTTCAAGAAATGTGATTATATTTCAATCAATTTATCTTTAGAATTGCTTCTCATCCAATAATTATTTTTGTAACATATAGACAGGCCGGGGGGGGGGGGGGGGGGGGGTAGAGTATAGATTTTGCTATAGTAGAATTTTCTTTAGATGCTGGTTGCCCCCCCCCCTCCCCACTTTTTGATGTTGTAAGGTCGAGCACAAGCAAATTCCAGGATTTGAACAGTAAATTTTAGGTTCCTTCTTTCCTTGTCAGATTTTTTTGGGAAGTTGCCCCCCACCCCCCACTTTTGTTTTTTAAATTTTTGTATATTAGAGACATTTTTTAATATCTTAAACAATGTACAGCGCCTTAGGGTAATGCATTTTATATAGGACGCTATATGTTCAGTAATTCCAACAATCAAATTAAATTTGAATTACCATACCTACCGGTACACTAGAAGTTCTGGAAAGAGCTTCATAAAACCCAAAGAAAGATGCACAGTGGGATCTAGTAAATGTTCTACAAACCCTCTTCCTTTTTTCGCATGAAACTATTAACAATAGGGAAATAAAAACTCTAACAGTAATGTGCAACAAAATTTTTGAGAAGTGGAGTTAACTAGATGTGGATTCTACACTTTCAGAAAATTTGAAAACAGAAAATTTTGCCAAAATCAATAGCATTTAAACGTATGACAATTCATTTTTACAACCATTCTCCTCGATGAATTAAAGACTACTCTATTTGACATCATTAACAACTTCTTCCTCAATATAAATGGAACTTGTAAATTTTCGTATCTTGTCATTGTAATCTACAATGTTACTTTGTTAAAAATCATTCCGATTCTACACACAAATACTGCATGAGGTTGATATAAAAAGATGCTAGAATTCCTTAAGGACAAAACGTATGTAGTCTTTGGAGTTCAGGTCTTCCAAAGCTTTGTTGGAATTCTCATTGGTAATAATATTCATTTTCATTCATACTTTGATTCAATATATCCAACTGAATCCGACGTAAAAGACACCAAGGAATCAGATACATCTGTTTCATATTTGGATGTTTTACGAGAGAAAGACATTGATGACAAACTAACAACTCAACTTTATAATAAACTTGAAGACAAACATTTTGATCCTCAACTCTCCTTATTTATCTAGCAATACATTGTTTCTATAGTGTCTTCTGCATATAGTGTTTATGTTTCCTCGTTGATTCGATACGCAAGAGATGTTCTACTCACGAACAATTTCAAAACGGGGACAGGCTACA